GGGTTTAGGGTTCAGCGGTTTGGGGTAGGCTTCTTCAAGGGGTTTAGGTTTCAGTTACAGTTCTGTCTCGGGGGTTGCGGTTGCAGGATTGAGGGGTTCCAGGGGCGTTCGAGGGCCTCGGGCTTCCGGCTTACGGCTCAGAGTTTGGAGCTTTAGGTTTGCATTTTTATCTCGGCTTAAATGTGACAGGAAGTAGCAGGAGTAGCATGACTTGTCACAGTGGGAGTCTTGCAGCAATGCTCGTAGTGGTTGTTAAGCTCTAAGAGAACCCTGGGTGTTGGGTGGGAGCTCTCAGTTAATGCACCTTAAAACAGTCCAAAGCCGTGAGCCCTAACCCCAAAGTCCTTGCTGGCATCGAGGCAGCTGTTGGGAGCTTCTGTCTCAGCGTGAAAGGCCTGCACAACCCGACGAACCCTGAACATTCTGGGATTCTCTTCTCACTCTCGGTTTCTGAACAAAAAAGGCTGGAGGCAGACGCTTTTCGTTCCATCGTAGGTAGAGCCCCAACACCTAAACCTTAGGCGTTTACACACCATAGTAAAGCCCCATTCCCCATTCCTCTATAACTCACTCCATCCGTGCGAGTGGGAAGATGTTGAGAAACCTCTTGGTCTGTGAGGCGCTCCAGGCAACCCCTTGGAGGCGTTTCAGAACGAGTGTTGAAAAACAAAAGAGCTTTGCTGGCTAGAATACGGCTTGAGTGTTTCGCGTACTCTGATTCGATGGTGGCTATTACTGTTCCGACCCGTGTACCTTTATAGTTCCAATGTTCCTGCCCGACGTTGCTAAGGGCACGCCGGCCGGCTACGAGAACGTAGATGGAGTGTGGCGATGTGCTGCCCTCGGAGAGGAGGGTGACTCCGGGGGGGGGGGGGGGGGGTTTCTCGGACCTGGTTCGTTTTGTCTAGGCCTCCATGGTTTGGATGCGGTGGTTCTGTGGCTTACGCAGGTGTCTGCATCTCAGGCTCTGACATGAACGTCAGGGTGGATTTGCGCCTAGACGGCCACGGCCAGGATGGCCAAGCCATGGGGCCGCAGGGGCCGCAGCGCTGGACCGATCATGCGTCTCTTGGCGGGGGCAGGCTGGAGTGTTGTCTCGACGCCATGGCGACACAGCCGGATAATCTTTATGTGCAGACGAGTCAGATCCAAATAATGCTACAGTTCTTCCAGCAAGCTGGTCAATGCCGTTTGGATAGGATGCTCTTGCAACAGTGTCTCGATCTTCTAGCAGCAGCCATGCACAATCATCGACGCGATGCGCAGCTACAAGCCGACAGCTGCTGTGCTCTGCATGTGATGGCCTCGACCTTGGGAGCCAGTCTCACAGGGCTCCAGTTTGCAGAGGTTGTGAGTCAGCTCGTGGAAGCGATGAAAGCTTATCGAACGGAGCCCCAGGTGTGGAGATGGGCCGCTCGGGCCTTGGGGGAACTCACCAACATGCTGGATAAGGCTGCGCTTGAGCGCGCGGCTGCGGCAGGCGCCTTGGATCAGCTCCGGTCTCCGAGGCCGACCGACAGCGATGGAAGGTTTCAGAGACAGAACCGTGTGGCCTTCAGATTTCTACGTGAAGCTCTCTCCCATGGAGACTTGCACGCACATGCAGCTCCACGCAGTAGCACGCAGTCCAACCCGGCAGGCTCCTCACAGGATCCTCCACCCCCGGGTCCGCAGTCATCTCAAGCCCCCGAGCTCCGGCCAGCCCAAGAGGGCCGCATGAACTCAAGCACTTCCGTCTGCGGGCTCTTCGGTGAAGACCTGAAAGGTGTAGACAACCAGGCACCGGAAGGGATACAGGTCTGTCAAGCCTGTAACACGATCTTCGAGGGTCTCATGACAAATGCACCAGGCAGCGAAGAACGCAAAATGTGGCAGACAAAGCTACGGCACATTTGTGTCAAAGCAAGTGAGGATTCGCAGACGTCCGATGTGCTGAAGATGAGTGTCTTTGGGTTGATGCCGGCCGAGGAAATCGAGAATTTTCTTCTTTCTGATGACCACCGAAGGTGGAAAATAATTGAAGCACACACGGAAAGATTTCTTGAGCTTCTGGACGAGCCGGGGACACGAGTCGACCTTAAACCAGCCCCGCCGGCAGATACCGCTGAGCGGGTGCCAGTGTCTAAAGATCACCATCCTGACCGGAACCATAAGTGGAGGTCCTTGCGCCCTGTGGTTTTGGATCAGTCCATTCGGGAGCCTGCAACGAACACACCTTTTGGGCACACTGGCTACATGAAGTATTTGACACTGCAAATCATCCGAAAGATGCAATTCAACGACATCGCCATCACTGGTCAATACTACGGTGAGAAGTACACGCCAGAAACGCAAGTGCTTGAATGGATCATCAAGTATGCAAAGGAGAAAGGGGAGGAGGATCCAATGCGTGGCCTTGTAGCAATGTTCGCACCGGGCGAACATGACAGAAAAGCGGGCATCCAGACCATGAAAGATTTCAAGATTCCGAATGCTTTCCTGGATCTGACCTTCAAAGCCAGTGTTCGCTTCAAAGATACAAACTTCGTACAATCCGTGATCGATGCTGTGAAGGAGCTGGACGAAATCTATGAGGAGTGGGGCTGGCCGGGAGAACCATGGCGTGAAGATGCCCACATCAACAATAACAAGAATTTTGCCCGTGGTGAGATCTCTCTGAACTTGGTGGACCTCATGGAGTATTTGAATCTCAGAGGCGATGAGACCATGGAAAAGCAGAAGAAGGAGGATGTGGAGAAGGCTTTCGAGGCATGGAAAGCCAATAAGGCGTTCCAGCGCCGTGTTGTGGCCATCTTGGTGGAGGAAGGACGAGGTGTGGCTGACTATGAGGATTACGGCACATTGGTGAGTTGGATTCGCAAGTTCTTTCCAGAAGAAGGGAAGTACCGAATCCTGGTTCACGCGCATGCCGGAACCAACAACCATCAGGACGGCTTACTGTAGCGCTTTTTCGTCATTCTGTTCTAGCAGTGGCAGCAAGCTTACACTTACACCCTAAGCCGAAATCTAACATACTAAACCTCAAGCCCTAAACCCCTAAAGTCTATAGCTGTCAGTTTCCAGGACGTGGCGAGCCTCAAGGCCGTGAAGCATGGTGCAAACGGGATATGGGCAGCTCTGATTCTTGGACGACGAATCTGCGCAGGTTTTCATCTCTTCTCGCCCCTCTGGTCTTATATTGTACTAGTGATGCCGAGGTTTTCAACCTAAGTCCGAAGCCCAAACCTCCTAAGCCTAGAGCCAAGAATCTCTAACCCCCGTTTGCTGGCTAAAGATCCTAAACCCTCAACCCTAAACCTACCTTTGGTTAGTAGGGAATGGAAGAATGGTAGTAAATGGTACTTATAATAGTTCCCATTCCTCCATTCCCTACTAACCAAAGGTAAGTAAACCCTTAACACGTACCTTTGCCCCATCCTTGGGAGACGCAAGGATCCCTCAGGCTGCCCAGGCGGGCCACAACTCCAGCTTCGTGTTCTTGGACTACCTCCTCCACCACGGCAACGAACACGTCCTGAGACTTGCTTCTCATAAGTTTAGGGTTTAGGGTTGGCGGTTTCGGGCGCAGGATCTAGGGTTGGGGGTTTGGGGTTTAGGGTTGGGGGAATGCGTAAGCACGGCAGCGGGAGCCAGCATGCCAGTAGCAGTCGTGTTGATGAGACGATCATGAAGAGTCCTACTCAGAGCAATGCTGCAGGAAATCACAGCAATTTGCATGAGAAGAGGGTAGGGTTTAGGGTTTAGGGTAAAGTGTACCAAGCAGCAGTTAGAGGGACAACTGTGAGTATGGTTTTCGTGCCCACAGCATGATGTGTGTTGGTACGGATTGGTCACAAAAGTACTGGCAAGAAAGTAGAAGAAAGAGATTCTAGTTGCAAGGAGACACTTCTGGCTCTTCCAAGCGCTGGAATGCGCACGCCACATCTACTACTTGCACCTTTGCTGGCAAACTTTCCGCCGTAAAGCCAAGCCGTAACTTCTGCAACCTGAGGCAGAAGCCCTACACCTCTCAGCTTTCAAAGCTCTGAACCCTAAACTCCTAAGCCTAAAGCGCCCCGCGCCCCTTAACTCCAATCCCTGAGCCCTTAAACCCTGAATTGATGAGTCGCAAGGAACTTCAATACCCACGATATTCCCGACGACTGCCCAATCTGGGGCGAGCGCGTCGGGAAAGAAACCCACAGTGCCTTCAACGTTCTCATGGGGGAGACGTGGCGAAGAAAGACTGCCGATTACTACGATTTTTGGGAAAAATCGGAGACTTGTCGCGAACCAAGAGGTCGACAATCCTTGTTGGTTTAGGGTTTAGCGTTTAGGGTTTAGGGTTTTAGGGTTTTAGGGTTTCGAATGGTATTGGGCATGTGAATCATGCAACAGGGGACAGGATGAACAAATTCTAATTGTGCGTTGTCAGCATATACCATCCATTTTTGTAGGCCAAGACCGCGTCTCATCGGCGCAGGAATTCGTAAGTGGTATGGGTTGGGGTGGTCGAAAATCCTGATATTGCTTTGCCGAGTGGCTGTCGGCATGGAGGTGCTGTCGTTCTTGAACCAAGAAGCTTCGAAAGCTCTTTCTAGGTGTGCATAGGCACAGCTCGAACTTGAAAGTCTACCTCCAGCTAGCCATGACCCGAATCCAAGTTGTGAACGGCGTAAGCGCATCTGATGGTCTGAGATGTTCGGAAACACCACAGCACTCTGCAAAGGTCAAGAGGGAGATCAACGAACTGCCACAGAAGGTACATCATGTCAGGGCAAAAGATGAGGCCCGTGGAGAGTATCGCACCTCAGAGCTGCAGATGATAGGTGTTGGCTCATTTGCAGTAGCATCTGCAGCTGTTCGTGTTTAGAAGCTGGTTGCAGCCAAGATTCGATCTATGTTCTCCAACTTTGCTCGCAAGTTTCAATTCCCAGACATTACATCCCAAGCTTCTAAACCGCACAGTCGTTCCAGGATCAGTGGATATACCATGCATGCACCCTATACCTTCAATGCTTGCACTGCCGTGAGTGCCGTGGATCATCGACATGGGTGCTCGAGGCTCCGACCGAGGCCCCCGGCCTTGTATTCACGTGGAGGCGAATTGAGAATAGTCGGGGTGATTGAGGCGGGACTGCATGCAGACGCACGCATGCGATAAGTGGGTGTGCCCTCACTCCGAAGGGAACGCACCAACCGAGCGCACACTGTACACACACTCTGAGCCCTAAACTTAACCCAAAACTGTCAAGCCCAGGCATCTCGCCACTCGTTTCGGACACTCAGACCTGGGTGAATCGGATGCGCGAGGTGCCTTCGAGCCGGGGTTTGTCGAAGGGTTTGAGGATCTTGGGTTTGGGAGGGCTTTGCAACGTTTGTCAGAGTGTTAAACCCTACTCCAGGTCATAATGTCCTCAAAAGAAAGCCTTGATATGAGACCTTTTAAACCGAAATTGGGGGCCGGAGATCCTGATACCGCGAAAGTGTTCAAGTTTCCCCCACCACGCCATCTCGAGGACGTCTCATGATCGAACATGTCCGACAGCCTCTAAGTAGCCCAAGTTTGGGCGCTTTTTGCCCCTAGACTCTAATCCCTAAGCCCTAAACCCTAAACCGCTGGATTCCTTTAGGAGCGTTCCCAAAGCCAGTTCTGAGCTCTCCCGGTCAGACATGATCCAGCCTGCCCTTGTCTCCCCACCGTTTCTTGAGACCTTTCAGCGTCCATAACTTTCTGTTGCAGAGTTCACTGGATTCATGCTCCTTGCGGTTGAACAGAACTAAGCGCCCCCCCCCCCCCCCCCCCCAATGGTGTGCTGGGCATCAGTCTGGTGCTTCTTGTGGGGATAGCTGGATGCAGCACCCTAACTCCAGTCTCCAAGCCCGTCGCACCAAATCCGAAGTGGATTCAAGGCGAAAGCAGTCGAGCCCGACGAGATCGTGAATGATTACGTGGATAGGGTGAAAGCACTCGGGTTCCTTTTCTCTTATAAGTGCTCTGGGAAGCGATCAGATGCTGTTCCTACCTGATGTTTGGGTCCATGGTTTAGAAGTTTTCGGTTTCGTGCTCTGATTCTGTATCCGGGCCATAAGCCATGCTGCCAGAAAGCCAAGGTTTGCATTGATGAATGCCGGCATCCGTGTCAACTTGGACGACGAAGACAACCTCAAAACGCTGGTCAAGATCGCCAGAGAGGCGGGAGCCCAAGCCCAAGCGTCTTCTCTCCTAAAACCCTAAACCCTAAACCCCCGAAATCTTCGAGCTTTCACACATAAGCCTAAAAGCCCATGAACTAGAAATCTTAACTCTTGATCCCAACTTCGATGCCAAGCCTTAAAGCGCCAATGATGATTCTTTTTGGCCTTCTTGGTCCGGCTATGGCTGTTGAAGGTTGGAATTGCGGATGTGGCATGGACCGGCATGGATCAGTTCACGTTTTTTGTTTTGGTTTAGGGTTTAGGAGCTCGGTTTGGGGATCCAGGGGTTTAGGGCTTTTCGGTTTTTGGGTGTCGCGGGTTTGGGTTTAGTTCTTCAGGAAGCAGGGGTTTGGGCGCAGGGCTCAGGTCGCTTCGGGGGAAGGAGTGTGAGTCGATGTGTGAGTGGAGTATCGTGTCTTGCTGTTTAGGGTTTTAGGGTTTGGGGTTTAGGGGTTTCGATGGCCTAAGACTAAGATCAAAAGCACACGGTCTTATTTCCCCGTGTTCGGCTGAATGACTTATCTGTGACCTGTCAATCCTACTCCAGAAGCTCCAAAAGAGAAGCCCCAAACCCAAAGCCCTGCATCCAGGCCCAGAGAAACAAGGCGACGGAGCCCTGCGTTTGCCGACAATACGACGCCCATGAGCGGAACGCAAAGATGAAAGAACGAAAAGATAGAGGAGAAGGAGGTTGCACGTGCCTCTCTCCCAGCTACCTGAAGGCTGAGCAGCACCAGGGTAGGTGCGAGTAGTGGAATTTGTAATTCGCCGGAGAACCCCAGGACTCTCTCAGAGTTGGCAGCTTTAGCACAGGTGCTCATCACCTAGTAACGTTCGTCGTATCAGGTAGGCACAGTAGCCATGCTGGTCCTCAGAACCATACTCGTCACAGCTAACTTGAATGATGCCAGGCGCAGCGCAAGAAGCAGCCGTGGTCATGGTAGCGGCAGGATTCGTAGCCAGTCCAGCAACATCAGTAGTGCAGCAAGAATGGCAAGAGTAGCGCAACTTGTGGTAATGGTCGCAGCAACAGCAGAATCGGCAGTGAGTTCTAACACGCCTGCGGACAACAGGATCAGGACCAAGAAGGCACGAACAATACGAGTGTTCAGGCAAAACGGAGCGATCATGATGGTCGGAACAAGACTCGCAACCTCACCATCATCATCATCATCACCATCATCATCATCATCATCTTCATCATCAACAAGGACAATAGCAACATCAGCAGGACATCAGCACTGCAACCCATAGCGGCTGCGCTGCGGCTCTGGGACCTGGGACTGCTGGACCCGAAAAGGGATTCCTTTTCATTTAGGGCTTTCCGAAAATGGGGGACCCTAATATAGTACCCTAAGTAGTAGGATTCATATTATAAGGAGTCCAATGTAAGGTACCCCTTAGTTTCGGAAATTCCCATTTTCATTTGTGCCATAGGCCCTCGATTCCCATGGCAATCCGAATGGACGAAGGCTCCATGGGAAGGACAAGTCTCACATGCAACCTTGCAGATTTTTGCTGAAGCGCCTTAGAGCCGCACTGTACAACACGGGGAGGGAGGCAGAGTGGGCAAAAGCTGCTCAGTTTGTCCGGCTCGCCTTCCTGACCCGCCCTTGGGCTGAGCTGCAACGTGTCGCGCGTTTACTGTACTGATATACTACTTTAAGGCTTGGGCCTTAGGGGATTGAGGAGTGTGGGCTTTAGATGGTCAATGTTGCGATGCCCGAAAGGATAAGAGCAGGAGCAGTTACAGCAGAAAGAGCCATGGCAGAACTCTCGGTTGAAGCATGGCAGCCCCTCTAGTTGATCTCCCAGTACGCTTTGCCTGCAGAGCGCATCTCCGCCGACCACTTCTGCACCGGGACTGACTACCGTTCGCTTCGCTCTGAAAATGCTGCGCCTTGCAGTTCTCCTTTCCAACTTTAACCCTTTGCCTTGAAGAAACACAACGCCAGCCCGAGGTGCTGCAGGTTACACTGGCGAAGCTGTGTTCGCCTGCAGAACTGCCGGCGTGGTTTCTCGTTTTGTGCAGCTGTTCGGGTTACTGTCGAAGCGATTTCAGGTGGGGTCTGGGGTGTTTAGTGAGAGTGGTGTATTGCGAGGACTTCGCACTACCATCGTCGCGCCTCTTACTCTTTAGAACTTCTTGTCTGCTCACGACCACGGCTTCCACTACCTCAACACCACGACAACAACTACAACTTCTTCTACTACTACGTCCTACTGCTGCTCCTGCTACTCCTACTCCTGTTGCTACTGCGCCGGCTACGGCTGCTTCTGCTTCTACTTCTACTCCTGCTGTTGCTCCTGCTGCTGTTGCGGGTGTTGGTATCGCAAATCCACGGACAGGTGCTGTTGTGGTCAATGCCACGAGTATAGCCTTCTTTGTGCTCAGTTCTGCCTCAACCCTACAGCCCGAAACCATACTCCTAACCCTGAACCATCACCCTATTTTCGGAGCCCTAACCTCATCAGACCCTGAAGCCTAAACCCGAGGCGCATGGAAGATGGAACCTGAGACTGGAAGCTACTCGTAGCATGACGTACCCTGAAGCCCAGACCCTAAGCCTTCAGATCCTCGCAAAGCCCGTCTGAGCCTTCGGTTTAGGGCTTAGGGTTTAGGGTTTAGGGTACAAAAGCAACAGCAAGGAACTCGAAACCCTAAGCCCTCTGTTGGTCAAGGGTTGCGCAGCTGCGAATCGGGGGCTGGGGCGTGTAGGGGTCATCAGCAGCAGCATCAGCAGCAGCAGAAGCAGGAGTAGGAGTAGGAGTAGGAGTAGGAGTAGGAGTCGGAGTGGGAGTGGGAGTGGGAGTGGGAGTGGGAGTAGGAGTAGGAGTAGGAGTAGGAGTAGGAGTAGTAGCAGCAGTCGTCGTCGGTCGTCGTCGTGGTGGTAGTAGTAGTAGTAGTAGTAGTAGTAGTAGCAGCAGCAGCAGCAGCGGTAGTAGTAGTCGTCGTCGTCGTCGTCGTCGTCGTCGTAGTAGCTCTACGTCTGTTGCTGGTGCTAGCTGTACAGCCGAGGCCTGCCTTCGAAGTTCTATTCCCGTGATTTGCGCATAGCGATATCAGGTTTTAGTGATTGTTTTAGAAAAGGGGTTTCGGGTTCAATAATTCGTAGTGATTGTTTAGGGTTTAGTGGGTTTAGGGATTTTTAGTGACCGTTGGGAAAGGGGTGGTAGAGTTTCTACCACAGTCTATGGTGGCCAGTGTTATTGCCAAGAAGGAGCCTGTCTGTGCTTTCCTAAAAACTGTAGTGGCGGTGATGATGAGCAGATGACGATGACGACGATTGTTTTAACGATGATGCTGAGGATGCTGCTGCTGATGACGAGGGTCATGTTGATAAGGCTGACGATGACGACGACGAGGATGATCATCATCATGCTGCTGCTGCTGCTGCTGCTGCTGCTGCTGCTGCTGCGGTAGCAATACTGTCTGCGCGCCTAGCACAGTCTTGAGTAACGTCGGCCTGCTGAATTCTTCTTCTTGGTACCGTCAGTCACTTCTAGGACTGCTACTGCCACTCCTGCTCTTAGTACTGGTACGGCAGCAGAAGGATGACAAAACCCTGCTGCCCTTGCCAAAGTTGACGACCTTTTCTCTCGGACTTGGGTTCAGGGCTTGTGATTTGGGGGCTCGAGGGCTCAAGGTTCAGGGATCCTGCAAAGTACTTCGCCTTAAGCCGAACCGCCAGCTGTGGGCGACGACTGCCAAGCAACGCCGTCCCTGACTGGATGCACCGCGCTGGTGCACCGGGCTAGGGGGGGAGTCGGGATTGATGAGTTCAGCCAAATCCCATATCCGAAAAACCCTCCGTAGACGCCGTAGACCCTGAACACCCCAACTCCGATACCGTAGGCCCTAAAAAGCTCTGAACCCAAACCCCAGGGAACTTTCCTCTTGGGACCTGAGGCCGAATCACATCAACTCTAAACCCCGAAACAAGCCCAAAGGAGGTGACCGGACTTTGGGACTAAAAGGTCTCGGCCGGTGGGGGTTTTAGAGTTTCGGGCTTAGGGTTTTAGAGTTTCGGGCTTCGGGTTTTGGGCTTTGGGGGTTTGGGGCTTAGGGTTTTGGGCGACGTCTTGTTGCCAGTATTGATAGTAGTTACGGTGGCTTGTGTCATATCCATTGTCCGTGTTGTTGTTATGACTGTTATGAGTACTGTCAGGTGGCTGCTGCTGATGAACCGTGCTAACGAAAACTCACTTACAAGTTACACAGCAGTTTCGATATCACTGCTTTGCTGCTGTCTTCGGGGCTCACTTCATGTGGCAGTGAGGGCATACGGGATTGGCATTGAAGCCCGAAGCCATAAACCCTAAACCCTAAACCCTAAACCCCTAAACCCCTAAACCCCTAAACCCTAAACCCCTAAACCCTAAACCCTAAACCCATAATCCGGAGTCCTGGCGTTGACACGCCAGGCCCAGCACCTCGAACCCGAACCACAACAAGCATGTGAAAGAAGAAATCGAGGCTTGTTGAAAATAGGGTTTAGGGTTTAGGGTTGCCTTTTCCTATGTTCCTATTATATTAAGGACCATGGTCTTATTAGTTTGTGGGGGGTTCGCATTGCTTGTTGTCCGAAACTGCCAAATCTCAAAGGTCATAAGCCAAGACTTACGCCCTGAACGTAGAGGGTTTCCAACGCCTACGTCCCAAAACCCCTAAACCCCAAACCCTTGCACATCCCGGGCATCAAGCCATCTCCCACGAACCCCTAAACCCTAAACCCTATTGGAGCCCCTGGGCCCCCAAATCGAAGGTGCATTGCATGGCTCCTTTCGACGTGTGGGGCCCGAATCTGCTTAGGAAGCTGTCAAGGTTTGGGGTTTGGGGTTTAGGGTTATCCCTGAACCCTTAAGCCCTGAAACCCAAGGGAATACTGAACCCTAAACCCGAAAGTCTTGAACCGTAACAAGCACAATATGGAAGCCTCAAAAGTTACCAATATTATTCCGTAGAGTTCCTTCTCGTGATTATACTCTAAAAGGAGCCCAAAACCCTAATCTAATTTCTTCAAGGCCCCTACATTAAGTCCTCGAGCCTGGGCCCTAAAACCTTCAGGCTTTTGGGCTTCAGTCGAGTTTCTGGTTTAGGGCTTAGGCTATTATGGATCTAGAGCTTACGGCTGTCGTAGGGTTAGGGTTTAGGGCATAAGCAAGGTTGTTTGGGTTAAAGGATTTCACGGACGGTAGTATTTGTAAGGTCTCTGGGTTTCTGAGATAGTGCATCGCGACAGGCAATCATGCGAGGGAGGCATTCCGTAGAAGTCGCTGTGCATTTCCCAAGCTCTTAGATTGGCAAGGTTCTCCCGAAACACTAAATCCCAGAACCCCTAAACCTCTACACTCTAAACTCTAACCTTACCTCAAAACCTCTTCTAAACCCTTAACCCAACACCCTAAAATTCAAAGTCTCAGATCCAAAGCTCTCCGGACGAAATGATATTCAGCCATGCAAGCAAGCGACAGAGACAGGGGTTTTTTCAGTGCGTAAGTTAAACAGATCTAGTCTCCCAGAGGTTTGGGGCTTTTGGGGTTTGGATCTGTGTTACTGCTATATCCCCAAGGGTTCCTTACTATAGCTATACTATAATGTACCCCACACCCCATTCTAGTTAAAAGGGCCCCTAAACTACTCGCTTTCTCCGAAACTTAGTCAGAAAACCCCAAGTGCAGACAAGGCGCATTTTTTCCAGCCAGGGTTGGTTGTGGCATGTAGGATTCAGGATTTGGGTTCGCAGGAGTTCGATGTGCCATGCTTGATGTAGGGGCCTAAATACTTACCAATACTATTCCTGGGGTTCCTTACTATACCTGTAGTTTAACATACCCCAAAGCCCCATTCTAGTTCTTAAGGCCCCTATATTATATCAATCGTCCTACATCTTGCAGCCGGCAGCACCAAGACCCAATCCCACCCGTGAGTTCCGCGACCTTTGCAGTCCCTCCTCTCGTCCCTTCCCAGTAGCCCTGAAGCAAAAAGGCCTCGAACTCCAA